GAGTCCAAGCTAGTTAGCTTGATGGTTTATGATTGGTCTTCTAAACATTGAAGGTTAGTTCATGGGAAGGAGATAGATTGGATTTGTTCACCTTGGCATGGAAATAGACATTGTCTCATATACTAAAGACTGGATTGGTGGAGTTGCAAAAGAAATAAATTCTTGAAGCAAATACTTTATAGCCTGAATGCCTTCTAGCTTTGTTAAAATTGTTGCATCAAAAGTTGTGCAATTCAAAAATCATGTTTATCTCTTTCTATCTATACATATTATCCATGCCCTGGCCTTCTTTTCCTTGTTTAGATTGGGAGGGTGATTGGTTATGATGCTTTATTACAGTTAATATAATTGCTTTATTTAACTGAAATCTCTTGACAAATCTGAAAATGAGATGAGGGTTGCAGAGAAAAGCAAAAGCTTGATTCAATGGTCATGGTGCTTATCCTCTCTTGCAATGATTCAAGAATTTTCCCCAGTGAACTAGAGATGCTCTCAAGTCACTGAACTTTATGCAAAGCATGTCATCCAACCTATTGATAAATGTGCAACATGAAGGACACCAGATTCTTGTCAAAGGAAGGACATCCACCACATGTTCAGGGAAGTTTCTTAACCTCTCTTCATTTTCCATCATCTTTTATGTGAAAGTTGTCTCACTTGCATCTGTTTCATTATTACAGATCTTTCAAACATCACCTTCATTCGGCCCTTAGCCACATTCACCCTCATTGCTACACATTTTGCTCGATCTTTCGACCGTGGTAGCTCAACTTGCTTGGTCATTCGACCGTTGCAACATAAGTACAAGCACAAGCACCAGCACAAGCACAAGCACCAGCACAAGCACAAGCACAAGCACAAGCACAAGCACAAGCACAAGCACAAACACAAACTTGCTCGGTCCTTTGACTGTTGCAACTCAATTTGCTCGGTTATAAAACCGTTTCTTGCTCAACTAGCTTGGTTATATAACCATTGCTATTCAACCGGCTCGGTTGTTTAACCGTAGTCACTCCAGTTGCTTGGTCGTTTGACCGTAGCTATTTCATGTGTTCGGTTATTTAACCATTGTGGTTATATAATCGTCTACAATCACCTCTTACAATCACTGTTTACAATCACCACTTACAATCACCTTTTACAATCACCTTTTACAATCACCTCTAACCGTTTCTTGCTCAAGTAGCTTGGTTATATAACCATTGCTATTCAACCGGCTCGGTTGTTTAACCGTAGCCACTCCATTTGCTCGGTCGTTTGACCGTAGCTATTCCATGTGTTCGGTTATTTAACCATTGTGGTTATATAATCGTTTACAATCACCTCTTACAATCACTTTTACAATCACCATTTACAATCACCTTTTTACAATCACTGTCTACAATCACTTTTTACAATCACCATTCACAATCACAGTTTACAATCACCTTTTGACAATCACTTCTTACAATCACTATTTACAATCACCCTTTTACAATCACTTTTTTACAATCACTATTTTCAATCACCATTTACAATCACCGTTTACCATTTACTTGATTGGTCATTCGACCATTGCGGTTATAAAACCGTCTTTCACCATTTTTACTTTACTTTTTCGGTCATTCGACCGTTGCGGTTATAAAACCATTTTCACTTTTCTTGTTCGGTCATTTGACCATACTGATGCTTCACTTTTTCGGTCATTCGACCATACTCATACTCATACTCTACTCCTTCCGGTCATTCGACCATACTGATATTCTACTGTTTCGGTCATTCGACCATACTGATACTCTATTCCTTTCGGTCATTCGACCATACTCATACTCTACTATTCTGGTCATTCGACCATACTCATACTCTACTCTTTCGGTCATTCGACCATACTGATATCCTGCTCCTTTCGGTCATTCGACCATACTCATACTCTACTGTTCTGGTCATTTGACCATACTGATACTTTACTTTTTCGGTCATTCGACTGTTGTGGTTATATAACCACCTCAATTCAACTTGCTCGATCATTTGATTGTTGCAACCCAACTTGCTCGATCGTTTGACCGTTGCTATCCCATTCGTTCGGTTTATCCGATCGTTGCGGTTTCTTAACCGTTTTTACTTCTCTCGTTCGGTTTATCCGATCGTTACGGTTTCTTAACCGTTTTTACTTCTCTCGTTCGGTTTATCCGATCG